CTTTTAACATCATCATTTCACAGTCCTATTTTAACCTCATGTCTTCACTGCATCAACTTGGTTACATAAAAAATATATTGTCCCCACATTTAGCAGGTGGTGAATTTATACATGGTGTGGAATGTGACATTAATTCTACGTAACCTTGAAATAGCTCAGCCTCCAACAAAATAAACAAAGTTTGCGTGTTTCATGGCAAATATTTAATCTTTTCATCAGATGTATTTCCATCCCCTGTGAAGTTTTTCCAGGACAAACTTACCAAGAATGACTTCAATTGGCTTTATAAGCCTACATGGATTAGACTTGAACAAAGTCCTTCCATCTTACTAGTACTGACACAATGCTCACATACATGTCACCAGAAGCTATGAAATTACATCACACATATAACTTCTTCACTGTATTTTTCACAGCACAGATGATGTTCATGATATTACTCTCTGAAACTGTAACAAGTCCCCCTTTCTTTAAAATGTGTCTGCTGATAGAGACAAGTTCCATGGAATATGTTCTTACTGCCAAGGAAACCACCTGGTTTCTACAAACAGGAGTATCGCTCCGCTTATGTTCTACCCTTCCCCTTCCAATAAGAGATTGTCAGATGCTTGTTGACGGCAAAAACATACCAGTCCAATGAGATCAGGCTCCTACTGTCTGCGTCATTTTGAGCATGTGCACTTCAACTCTAGCGTGATGCAAACAACAGTGGACTGGTCACATGAGGCTGGTATGTTTGCTGCCATCAGGCATCTCGAAGTCGCCCACAGTCCCTCTCCATCAATTTCAACACAATGGTTAGATTAACCCCTTCGCACCGGGAGGCGGCTATAGCCGCCATAAAAATTGAGATCCTCAGCCTGCTTTCAGCTATTATTCTCGGCCCACGCTCGAGCGAACATGGTGAAAGAAGGCAGACCCTGGCTCTTGTATATGTGGTCATTGGTCTTTGTACGTAGCCCAGAAATGAAAAGACCGAATTTGCATCATAATAACTAGCTTCACAATAGTCCCCACTTTGAAAAGAGGCAACGGGAATGTGGAAGCGTGAGTAGAGCCGGATGCCACCGAACAATCAGCCTTTTCACCGTGTAATTCAAAGCATGCAGAGCACACTGGGCCACAAACCGAGAATTTGCAGTTTGGCAGGTGGCTTTCATGGCCAAGCGAGGCTGGAATTCTTGGAGTCGGCTTCCGGGAAGAAATTCCCGTCGTCAAGGGGTTCAATCAAGGAGACACCTCAAACCTAATCTGGGACTTCAGCAAGTGACATCTTACAAGACTCAACTAACGTCAAAGTCAGACTTCTCGTTGACAATTTTACGGAGGGGGTCCAGTCAGTAAAAACACCACCCTATCACTCCCCTTCCGTCTTTGACACCCTCCCTCCCTTCCCTCGATATCCACCCCTCAAACCCCCCCCCTCCATCCTCCGATATGTGGCTTCACAAAAGCTGGCAAACATACACGTATCCAGATGGCAACGTTCAACCTTGGTGTTAGTCATCGCTCACAGCCACAACGCAGGTGGGGATATGTAACAGGTTCCAAACTTGAAAGATCATGTAGAATGTCACAGGGTGGTGGTTATAAATCAGAGATCCTGCCCTATTTAGTCATTTCCAAGGATAATTCCTCAATTGATTGCACGCTGGGCAAATTTAAAGGAAAACTGGGCCAACATTTCACACACACGTTTATCTGTATTTGATACTTAACACACCTTTTAGGAGAAGTTCATATCTGGGTATCCGTTGTACTGGAGTCAACATGTGATGTTGCAAGGCAAGATTTCCGCACAGTTCATGATTCTGTGGAGATATACATCGTACGTTTATTATTAATACGCAGACATGAAAGTGAAATAATTTACTTGACAGTTGACAGGCACGCACACGGGAAAATTTGCTGGTGTGAATTACACAAAAGCATTTTCACTTATATTCTGTGCATCATCAAGCATTCAACATGCTCCTGTGTTACAAGTAGACTTTCTGGGGGAAAGGGGGAAGAGGAAATGAAAATCCTGTAAGCAGCAAAATTAATAAATCGGTAACAATGGAAGGGCATTGATTCTGACACATTTTAAACAAAGAGGTGATTGTTGTCTCCTTTTCTCCCTTTTCTTGTTTCTCCCACTTTTTTTCTTTTTCTCTCGTTTTTATTGGCTTTTTCCTCCTTGCCTGTGGGGCAATGTAACAAGTTTTCAGAGTGAAGGTTCTGTAGCAGATGCTAGAGAGGAAGGAAATCACTTTTGCGGCGAGGTTGGGTATAAACCAGGAGTTGGCAAGCAAATAAAAATGGAATTTAAAACGATTCAAATTTCACTCATGACAGTTGGCAAAATGCTCATGTTTCTAAATGTAACAATTGATATGTTGTGCTTCATTTCTTTCCGAAGTTAGTGTGTTTATTCTTTCATTTACTGTAGATGCAAACTTGTAAAGCCAAGTTTGAAGGTTTCCTCTCAACTGATAGAGAGGAGAAGCCTAAAAGCTGGCTGTTATGGCAACACACGTTGCATCATTCATGTGCCTACTTCCATGAATGATCACAGATGCTCACCTGTAATTGTGACACAGTGGCAGCAAATTTAGGCACTTTGGACATCCACTGGTTCAACTGCTTCATGGCATTATCAAAGTTACTGACGTAGTCAGAGTACAGCTTAAGGAAGGGGGCATTCTTCTTCAAGACCTCACCCAGACATGGATTCCTCTCCCTAACAAACCAAAATCAGAAACAACTCACTTACTGTCTGCTTGTGAGGGCATTTTGGCTCAACGTCCAGAAGCACCAAAACTTAAGATCTTGGTATTAATTTTACTTGCCGTGTCTACTCAAACACAGATATCTTCTTTCACATCCCTCTCTCTCCAGTTGGGGGAATATGCAAGCTTTTGAAGGTACGGTAGGTGGCTTTGTGCAAATTAACCCACTGTACCAGAACAGCTTACAGCAAGAGACTACTTGCTCCTCTGAGAATTAGGATGGCTTCAGACTGATTTATTGGCTTGATGAGCAGGGGTAATATTAATGTAGTCCCTAAAACACTTGTTTGTTGGAAATGGGTACTTCAGATTGTATGTTGTAAGCTATTCATTATTATTACTACTGGTAGGGGTCCACGCAAGAGCAATGATCAACTAAACCTGCTTAGATATTGCCCAGTCGGCTACCAACAAACATTACAAGACAGATGTTATTTCACAACACTATCTGCTCACTTGCTGCATAGAAAGCCTAGAAATTATACTTTCATAAACTTCCAAACCCAGTAGTGAACTTTTGGGTTTAACTTTTGTGAAACGCTTTACAAATTCACATAGATGTAACGAGACAAGACTAGATTTCAGTAGCATTCAAGACTGAATATACTTGTTCGAAATGAGCTTACTGTCCAAATTTTCAAAGCTACATGTATGTCTGTTAGAGCAGCTACCATACCCTTTTATGCTTAGATAAAAAACAGACAAGCCATTTGAGCCAGTTCAAGGCACTGTAGGTGTCTACTTCCTAACTGAATTACCAAGATGAAACTTTCCTTCTCATATCCGCAATGTCTCAAGGAGCTAATACCAAGTGTGACTACTCTCCCTTCCCTGTCATCCGTTTTTTATCTAACAATATGAATTAATGTCTTCCGACTCTCACTGACATTAAGCTGTTGTGATTTTTATAAGATGTAAATAGGGCTGATTTAGATGTAACCATTTCAAAATGGCGGTGTATGTATATAAGCAGTATTGTAATCAAGTCCTTCACAAATCTCCACAGGTCCAACAAAAGCTCACCAGAAGTCATAGCCAAGTCACAAGCCAGTGAAATGAACTGTAACAAAAGCATTCTTTTGTCACTATTGACCCTGTTACTTATAACTGGTCTTGTTTAAGAACTTGTGACTGGTATTGTGAAATGACCTATGAAGAGGCTTTTGCAAGTTCATTTTGCAAAACACAGAGCCTCAAGACAGGACCTCCATTTAATCACTATTCAACAGCAGTAACAGTAACACAAGCTCATTGAAAAATGTAATCCCTCTCCTGAAAGTAAATGTGATAATTTACCACCCGAAACTAGTCTGCATGTGTCTCGATCAATTTCCTGAAAGGAATTGGACACTAAAGAAATAGACAATGCAGATTGAGGGTTCGGTGAATATTTTGTTGCTTAGTTTTAAGGAGCGTTCCATGCAACAATGTCTGCTTAACTTAATTTCCATGCAGCAAGGTTTTCTTAACTGATCTGAAGTAACTGAAATTTCAAATTAATTACAACTGCTAAACTTACTGGCAATTGAGAGTATCGTTGATTGTTACTTTAAGCTCAAACAAAAGGAAATTAAGAGAAAACTGTGGGAAGGAAACCAGAACTAAAAACCTTATAACCTAAACAGGGCCATTCAGCATGACTCAGAACTTTTAAGAGAAAATTCCAAATCCAGTTTTAGGTAATAATTCTTTTTTCAATTTGATACATGTATGTCTTAAATCTTGCCAGATCATCACTTTAGCTAACTTAACCATATCCTGCCGGGGAACCTTTTTTTTTGTATGCATAGCCGGGGTACCCGAAATTGGACAAAAGACAGAGCTGTTGGGAATTTCCCGCAATTTTTCAGTTGTCAACAGCGTAGGAAATCCGTCATTGTTTTGAAAGATTATACCACTGTTTGTGGCATTCAGCACGAGCGGATTACCAACGGGGACAAAAGCCCTCCAGCACTCTAGAGATGAGCAATACACTACCGCTGCACGCTAATCTGGCTCGTATTTAAAAGATGCCAGAAGCACACTGTGCCCGTTTCGGGAACAAAAGAAACTTATGTAACACCGCACCGTCTGGGCTCTTTTTACAAGGGGGCAGGCCTGGCTGAATACTCTGACATCAATAGAAATTGTCAGTCTGATTAGAGTAGCCACCAAACAAACACTCCATGGGGTTTAGGCATCAAGAAAAAAAAAGAATTGTTGAAGATTTTTGAAAACTGAAGATATTGAAAATCACCTGTATGTAGGCACTGCATTTTTAAAAGCACCCAGCAGAACATGGTTAAACTTCTACCTTTCCTGAAATTGACTACACTCTGTTTTATGTTGGCACTCACCAATCTTTTAATCTCTCATCTAAGTCAGGTAGTAACACTGCCGAATGAAGCCGGTAGATTGATGAGATGTTAGAGAAGATTTCATTGACAACGGTTGGTGGAAACCAGTGTTGTTTCTGATTCTCTTTCTCAATTCCTTTCAAAAATATCTGACCAAAGAAAACAATGAAAAACTTAAGAACACTGCTGGACCGCACTGGGGAATTTCATAAATCGAAGCTGCCAAACTTATTACGTGGGGTTGGCCAACTTGTGAAAACAAATGTTTAAAACCTCAAACGGGTTTGGACTCTGTTGAATGATTAAAGTTCTGTAAATTCTTGACAGAATGTATCCAGCATCAGTCAAGTAAGTGGTCTTGTGGCTCATTTAATCCTAGATGGGAAACTGAATGATTAATGCCCCTTTTCACATGACAATGTCTATGCATAGCATCTTGGTTTTAGATTGGACAAGTAAGGGTTAGTAAGATTTGGAACTTTGCATGGTGGACCATAGACTAAGAGAGGGTTTGTGGGTACACCGTGTGAAATCAATCTCTTCTACAGAGAGTGGCATTTCTGAAAGTAACCGTTGAGTGCCGCACATCACGTTTACACTCATTGGTTCTTTGCAGAACTACCACTCTTATAGAAAAGATCAATTTCACATGACTTGGATTGCTCAGAGAAAGTTCGAATCAGATACATGTTTCTTGTGAATTAATTACTAGTTAACCCAAGGTTTGTAACTCAACTTATTCCAGATATGTCCCATACCTGATTGATGTCACAAAATCTTTAGTTACCATTGTTCTGTGAACTGCAAATAAAAATGCACTCTTAAACAACCACGAACTGACTTCATTAATGAGGTACAAAGTGCAATCACAAACTGACTTCATTAATGAGGTACAAAGTGCAATCACGAACTCACTTCATTAATGAGGTACAAAGTGTCTACGTAGGTTCGCTCTGTTGTGAGAACCTCAAAGGCTGTCTTGTGACTTTCATCCATGAACACAGCTGGTTCTTCCAGAGAAGTATCCGAGTCAAAATCAGAGTCCACACCGATTGGCTCATCGTCCGAATCCTCCATGAAATCCGAGTCCATTGATCTGATTGTTTGCCTGAGTATCCTACGGGACATGCGTCTCTCCTTCCGGCTTATACCCCGCTTCACTAACATATCAGTGTTCAAACCCACAATTCCCGAATCACCACTGGACATGCCACCAGAGTTCCGTAGCACCACCTTGTTACCATTGCCATCTGAGATCTCTCTGGCTTTCTGCTCGGCTGAGTTTTTGGTCTTCTTCGTGGCTGTCTTGTCTGCATCTGGGAGTGGTATGACTGCATATGGCCCATCATCCGTTGTTGGTCGAGCAGGTGCAGAGATCTTCCTAGATCGGGGATCCATCGGTTGTTTGCCCTTCACAGGTTTTATATCTCTTTCGATGCTGGGCCTGGCTGGATCACTTGTAGCAAAGTCTGGCCCCAAAATTTTCTCTAGCTTCTTAGACGATGCTTTGTCGTGACTGTAACTTGATGGCTCAGATTCTATTGTCTCCTCGTGATAGACTTCATCATAGATGTTGTCCCTGTTAGGCTGTTCCGAGGCTTTGGGTGGAAGTTTGAGAGGTTTAGGTATCGTTCTTGGTGGACTGCCAAGGGTTACTTTGGGAGGTACATTTGGTTTGTTGGTTGTACCATCCTGACCAGTGTTTACAGCAGGCTTCTTGGAAATTAGAGGTTTCTGTGCAACTGGAGGCTTTGCAGCTGCAAGGGAAAAGACCAAAAAAGTTACAAAACAGCAAGTGATCAAAATAATCAACATGATGACCTTAGCTTCAGGAATCTGGTAGGGTGTGACTGCACTTTGTTCAGAGCAAACACCACCCTGTGAGTTCAAAAGTGTCTAAGGAAAAAGTGTCACCTCACAGACTAAGTCTGACCTGAAGCTACCCCTCTCCAGGGGGCACCGTAGAATGCCTTGTCAGGAATTTGCCAGGCACCCATATAAAGAACCAATGAAATTGCACACTTAAAATTACTGAGCACCAAGTCATGTTCTCCTATGATGGCATAGTTTTTCCTGTTATTCCTCCACTTTAAATCTATAGAACTATCCCATACAGTGGAGGAACGCTAGGAAAATTATGTTTACTATGTAGATGAAACACTGCCACTTACCACTGAGGACAACAGAATAACAACTGAGGACAACAGAATAACAACTGAGGACAACAGAATAACAACTGAGGACAGGGAAACATCCACTGTTCCCACTCTGTTCATTCTTCCATGGTACAATAAAATATGTACACGTACAATGTGGACTTGAAGAAGGGTATACAAACAGGTATCATGTGTCAGGACCAGAGAAACGTTATGGGAATTCTTCCAGCTAAGCACTTAGCATTTCATAACTTCATGTTAAGTCAGTAAAGTATTTACAACAATGGAATAACTGGTAATGTCATTAGGAGCATATGCTCTTGGAACTTCACCTTCACTCGTGATGCGACCATTACCAAAATACGTAATCAATTAAGCTAGAATTCCCTGTCTGCACATAAACAACGGCGGCATTGAAAAACCACTCGTCAGAAGACTAGACCATCATTTCTGTTGTTCATGTAGCAATAACTGTCATCTTTTAACATTTTTAATCTCATGACATACATCTTTTCTTTCATGAAAACTCTTGTTCCATTTTAACAGCGGAGTACAATCATGATTATTTTCCACTCACACAATGCTACAAGCACCAAAGTGTCTTGATGTGAATTATTCTGGAAAAATCTTGCTGATTGTTAACATTAATTTACTTTTACTTTATCAAAATATCCTAATGCAAGATTACTAAAAAGTTCTGCAAGAATAAAGCCATCATCAGAATTTGAGGCAGGTAAATCATACCTCTTCTGCAACGTACTCCCAAAACTTAAGGCGATCACCAACAGTTTTCCCAGAGCAGTGTGATCATGTGGAATGCTGATCATGAGTTACGACTTGAAAAGCACTCACAAAAAACATGCACTGATGCGTACACATGTAGCGGTATTTCCTCCCGTCATTTCCTTTAGAAATTAGGATGGCTTTTCAATCAGAAAACCAAATACAGTTTCCTGTTAATATTTTCTTTCAAAAATTCATGCGCAGGTACTCTGTTTAAGTTAATGTTTTTACTTCTTATGAACACGTTTCCAAGATCAACCCTTTAAACAGAGAAACAGTATTTGGTAGCGATTGGCTCCTAATGGGGAAAAATCTAGGCGCCAGCACTTTTATGAAATTTAGTAATCACAGGTGGTGAATATTCATGAACGTACGAACACACATGTAGTATAAATACCCTGTGTTTACATTGTCCATCCATGCCGAAGAATCATCCACCACACAACTTGCATACAAGCGCCAATGAGGTCAATCCACGAAATCAAGGTTTTTGCCAAGGGTTCAGCCACGGACGTTATGACATCCATAGTTTCAGTGTGCCGCAGGACACCCTGCTGCATGAATTGTGCTATTTCTGACACTCTAAATCACAGTGACCCCCTTTAATTCCGACATAAGCTCCGTTTCAGGTTTCATTTACGTTGCAGCAACAAAGCAGCAAAAAATGGAGCCCATGCCATGCCGTGGTTTGTAAAATGGCCCTGGTGTCCGTATACATTCATCAACAACGTATGTTTAAATCTGGAACCAACCAAACCGTGCGCGTGATCACGACACATGTACATGTAAAGTATGGTATATGTACATGTACAGCGCACTCGGTGTGACTCAATGCGAATTGCACTGCCATTTCTACTTCATTTATCAATAATCATAGCTTTTTGATTTTTAAGCATACTCAAAATTGTTCAAATACATTTGTATGTAGTTTTTAAGCTATCTTAAGTTGCAAATGGCGACTGGATGGTGAAAATATGATCGCATTAGCAAAATTGTGGTCGCATTTGCAACTGATTTAGGCACTTTTTAAAGTGTTGGCCAAGATGGAGTTAGGCACCCGAATACCATACAGATTGAGCGTAGGTCCATGCAACCTCTTGTAACCATGTATATCTGGCACACAATTCCAACGATACAGAATTAACTAGAGATATCTTGAGTATGGACCCAAAAGAATCAAGAAGGAACAGTTCCATGTTTGAACTCCAAACAATATCAGCCTTCCAGTTAAAAACCTTGTCATATCACCACTGACTTCAATTCTGATCTCTAGTGAATCACGCCTGGTCTCAATGTCCTCCAGGTGGGAGGAGTGAAGGGGAGGAATTTTTGTCACTCTTGAAGGGATGTCACTTCCTCTGACTGGAATGAGGCCTTAAATGATCCCTCTAGTGACCACAGCTTTCCCTTCCTCATTCTCTCCTGGCAGTCTCTTGCTGTCAAGGTTTAGTCACATTTAATAATGCTTAATTGAGACTTCTAATGCCCATAATCTGCCACAAATTGGTGTTGAAAGAGCACTGTCAAGTCAAGAACTTAAAAGAAAAGAACTCATGGGGAACATCAGGTGCCTATGGTACTCCGAATTAAAAAGTTCTTGGAGGATGTTGGAACTCGGCTTGGTTGTGCCAATGCTAACAATTATGAGGCTTGATGAACTGGGTTCACACTTGTTTTGGGTGAAATTTTAAACTCAACAGATTTTTAGGGAAAAAAAAGAAAAATACCTGAAGCTAGACAAACAGGATAGGCAGGATTTGTAGAACTACCAAAATGCATTGAATAACTGTGTCATGTACTCATATATATCACACAACTCCAATGAACCAGGTTTCCTTCTACAGGTACTTTCTTCATGCACTGACAATTCATTAGAAAATCAAACGTCGAAATGCACTTGTACCTTAAATCACTTCCTGGCAGGATTTTGGAGATTTTTAATATGAAATGGGACTGGCTGAAAATTTAATTCAAATAAATGACTTTGAACAGATTCAAGCGTAAAAACCTTGTCAAAATATATGTACAGTAGATTACTTTCAGCTATAATTTCAAATTCACTGTTAGTACTGCAATTTTTAAAACGGTAGGTAAAGATTTAAACAAACAATGAAAATGAAAAAAAAACAAACGCATACATGTTAACCCATGTACGTGATACGTGTAGGTGTCTATTTGAGAACAGTGAGATTACACGTCTTGAAGCAATGACTACGTCACTACATGTCTTAAGTTGCTGTCTTACTTAAAATACATGTAAATGTCATTTAGGAGAAAATCCTGTCTTCTCAGGTAATCATCTTGTCAAACAGAGTTTTCCTCACTTTAGGACAGGAAGAAATTAATTAGAATCCTTACAAGTTCCGCGATAGTGTTACATGCTGAAGCATGAACTGAGCTGGACAGTGGCCAAAATATCTCAACCAGTGATATAAATGTACTTGTAAATCTACATGAGCTATAAATGACTGTCAAAACTAGGATTTGTAACCTGTGTATATTTACTGGATCCTACACCAATAGTATAACTGCCCTTGTAATTATCACCTGTTTAGTCTTTTTCTCATTTGTCCAATTCTTTTAACCTGATTTGATTTACAGACAATATTTGGAAATTCATTCTATCATTAATGGTCCCGTATTGGATGCTCACTGCTTCTTACAAGTCTCCTGTACTTTCCAGCAGTGTTGTCCTGTCATGCTAAGTTCTGTTTTCTAGATAAGATTTGAAGCTTTGTATGGTGGAGAATAGACAAAGGTGAGGGCTTTCGGGGACACCATGCGGATAAATCTTTTGGAAGAGGTGTGGTTCTCACCAGTTCTTATCAGAACCACACCTCTTCTAAAGGAGATACATCTATCCACATGGTGTCACCACAAGTCCTCTCCTTAGTAACGCTCTTTACATGTATGTATATTCTCTGAAGTCAAATGTTCATCTGTGAACGAAGTGGAAATAAAGCGTATGTGAAAACAGAAAAAAATATTTTTAAAACAAGTTCAGAATTCATTATTCCTATTGCAGCTCATTGGGCCCACATTATATTCCAGAGACCATCTCCACTACCTCAGAAGTATGCCCATCCTGTTCATGTGATGCCATGTCAGTTTAAGGCCGTGTCCGAAACGGGCTTCCAGAGCTACGGCTCGGTCCATTGTCTATGCGTCTCCAAACATTTCCAATGGAGCGAAGACCTAGACCTAGCTCTAGACGAGATTTGGATGCAGCCTTAGCCATATTCACTGCAAACAAAGTTGCATGGAACCGGAAGTTACGTAACTTGAATGTTAATCCAATAGGAGCTTGAAATCACAGGTGCATGTGCATACATGTATGACAAAGGCATGAATGAACCAGGCACAGCTTGGAATGCCCAGTCCCGGCACAGACGGCAAATTCAAACCCAGTGGCCATCTCTGCCATCACTGATACCCAGTTTTCCAACATGCAGAGAGAAACAGATTGTGGTAAGGAATCCTGCAGAGGGACACATGCATTTCAACACAGTCTGGAAGCAAATATGCAATCCCAACACAACCTTTGATTCCATTCACTAAATCAGTCATCAAGGCTACAGGACTGTGCAAAGAAAAAAACATTTCCATGAAGTAAACCCCATTATTGTCATTAACCAGTATAAATGACTTGCAGCTATGATACAACATATTATCCCAAGGCAAACTTGAATGCTTAGTTCTGATTGGTCGATCCATGGCAACAATGTGATATATAACCGTATTGTCCGGTTCATATCAAACCCTGCGTAATACACCGTTCTAACGCATTGTGCTATTTTTATGCTAAAAGCAAATGCAGA